TTTTCGTCCGGGTTTTTGGTTCGTCGATTTGGTGGAAACCCCAAAATAAAAAAAACAGACAGGAACTGGACGTTTTTTCTGCGGAACGGTCGCCGGTTGGTGCCGGAACGGGAACGTTTGTTGAAGCGTTTCAGTAGTCTGAAGTGATAGAGCAGTTCTGGGACGTCATTGATTCGAAGTCGGGAGAAATTCTCCTGCGGCCGAAAGCCATGGACGCCGTTAACCTCCTGCGCAGGCACATCGAAGCTGACTGCTTGATTGAGCGATCCCAACGATGTAGCGCTGTACCACACGAAGGGCAAGACCACAGGGGGGATCACCTCGCGTCGCTGTGTCCGCGGAACCAATAGCACCGAGGTGAGCACCACGCTTCTGAGAAAGTGGATTCAGCAACCAATCCCTGCTCATTTCTCGTTTTATGCCGTCGAGGTACCGTCCAATATGCTCATCTGAATCTTCCTCGCACAACTCTTGGCGCATTTGGTAGGGGGTCGGTGCGATTTCGTACCCATACGCACCATTTGTGTTTTTTCGTCGTTTGCGTGTTTTTTTTTCTATAAGGGTTACCATCGTTACCTCCGCAGGTTGCTATCGACGTATTGCGCGTCTCCCGCGCTGGCCCACTCTATCCTCCTTGAGTTCAACCATCGCTGGAATATCAAGATGGCTGTGAAGAACCGCAACCTGCCGAAGGAGATCGGCGGATGCTTCGATCAGTTCGACATCGAGATCATTCAACGCGAGACGACGTCCTGGGACCTGGACAGCCCGGTATTTTCTGAACGGGTTTCGGCACTTGACGTGGCAGACACTGGCGAGAGGAGTGGGCTCGCGCAGAGCATGTGGGGGGGGGGCTGATGCTGGTGATTTGTGGGTTGATGCTCTTGGCGAGCAAGAAATGGTCCAGAATGCTGTGCCTCTTCCTAAGCTCACGCATTCCGCGAACGAGTACATGCACGCATGATGAACGTCGGAATGCCTGAAATGCCCGTGCACAATGGAGTAGAGAGGCGGAAATTTGCCAGCGAACTCAGTGCTTATTTGTATACACCGGGCCAGCAGATGGGTAGACTCCAGCAATACCAGGGCGTCAACTTCGCCGGATGGGCACAGAAGTGGAACGAGCACTGTGGCAAGATTGAGTCTGACCGGGCGGAGTGGGAAGCAGTGTATCGTAAAACCGCAGGCTTACTACGAGCTTTACAGACAACGCGCGAATGCTAAGAACACTATGTTTCCAATTCGCCAAGCAAATGCGGAGTTGCGAAGTACTTTGCAGGAGCCTGCGGGAGGCGAGGAGTTTGCTGGTTTGCTGGTATGGTCGGTCGCGTAGTGCCTCCGGCTGTTCCACGCAGCCGTTCTGGGGCAGGAGTTAGGGCTTGGTACGGGGGTGGCGCAGCGGCTGGTGTAGTGGGTGGCGCAGCTGCTGATGTAGGGGGTGGACAGATGGTCGATGTTGTGGGCGGCGGACATGCGGAGTTTAGCCCAGAACCAGAGTCGACAAAGGCCAAGGGCCCACTTCGAGCCCCTCAGCAGTGTTTTACGTGCGGCCACCGCAGACAGCAAGGCGGATGTAAGGTGGCGCACCCTTCCCCGCGAGAGAGGGGAGAGAGCCGCGCTTGCAATGTACCAGTTGAGGAGTACCGGCCTGACGCACACAGGACAGGAAGAATGAGTCCGGAGGGGAGAGAGGGTGGTCTAGGTGTGATTGTGCCACGTGCACTTCAACTGCATAGATAGCCAACGTCCGGGGTAGGTAGCATTTTGTTTTTTGTTTCGTATCGTCGTAAAAAATCGTAATGGTAAAGTCAGGTCTAGACTTTTTCGCTTTTTTCCCAGCAAGCACCAAGTAGCCTGTTGTGAGCTAATCGTGTGTTGAGAGGTGTTGCCCCTTTCTTCGAAACATTTTGTTGTAGTAACATCGTACGAATAATGTGGCGTTGTGAAATGTGATAAAATAACTCGGTATCGTGAGCAATGCTGCGGAAATGAAACTTGTCGTGAAGGAAAGAAACGCAATCAAAGATTTCAACGCAAGAAATCGGGATCAAATCGAGCATCATCTCGAAGAGCAAGGAAGGCAAACGTGACAAGCAAACACAACAACAACAAACCCGGACGGGAACTGGTCTATGCCTCCTACAACATTTTTCTATGCCTCCTGAAACATTTTTCTATGCCTCCTAAAACAGTTGTCTATGCCTCCTAAAACATTTTTCTATGCCCCCTGAAACATTTTTCTATGCCTCCTAAAACATTTTTCTATGCCTCCTGAAACACTTTTCTATGCCTCCAGAAACATTTTTCTATGCCTCCTAAGAAATTTCTATGCCTCCTGAAACATTTGTCTATGCCTCCTAAAACATTTTTCAATGCCTCCAAAAACATTTGTCTATGCCTCCTAAATCTATGCCTCCTAAAACATTTTTCTATGCCTCCTAAAACATTTTTCTATGCCTCCTAAAACATTTTTCGCGCTCCGCGCGAAATAATTGTATTGTTTATTAAATCATCCCTATCCATGGGATCTGAGCCGAGAAACGCCCGAGAAGTGTGTCTTCCACATGAATGAACGCATGTAGAAGGTTGCCACTTTGTATTGTAACACTGATCACGCGTATGCATACACAGGGCAGCAGAGAATCTCACAGGATAGATAGGTGCGGGAGCCATATTCGGCCGCGGCGGTGAAAAGCAGTATCAGGCGGCTCGACTGCTGGTGCTGGTGCTGCGTCCACAGTAGCATGTCCACAGTACAACAACAAGCAAACGACGTGTACCGGCATCATTCATCGTCCATCCATCCGCTCTGAAAACATGAAACACAAAAACGCGTTGCCTGGTTGAGGATTGTACATTGAGAGAGTCTTGAACCGGGCACGGAGACCCACTCTGTAGACCAGACTGTTCTTCCACCGACACATGCATATATACGTTTCCCTGCTGCTGAAAACCCATGGCAACAGCAAGTTTGTTGCTACACGCCTGTGTGCAACTACACTGGTTAGTGTTTCGTACATACAAAATATCAAAACACACACACACACAGAATGCTGCCCCCTCACGGGGTCCCAGTTCATGGCAGATATAAGTGTTTTGTGTTTTCAACCGCACTGAGAATGACGTCTCTTCATTGGTCAGCCGGGTAGCGCGGTCGATGCAAATCATAAAAACACGCAGAAAGAGTACTATTTACCCGTTCGAGATACCCAGAAACGGTCAGTGTTTTATTGCGGGGAGCGCAAAACACGTGGTTTCAATCTCCTTCACAGGACAACGCTTCGCTTCCTGTTCGTGGGAGGGCAATCCATCCTGAGCCCCGACAATAGAGAGAGATGCAGAAGAATTGTCGATCGCCATCGGCCTGTAGTTATTCCGCCAGGTACCACAGTTCCAACGATAGTGGGTGTACACCACGGCAAGCGGAAAATAATTTGCGAAGGCAGAATCCCCTGAATCTCCACGCCCGCTCCAAGTCTACCGGCGACAACTGTATCAACCAACACGTTTGTTTCGCCATTATCAGTACGCGGCGTTAGAAGCGTGCAATCAAAACGCAACATGAAGCTGCTAGGTTCCTCTGGCGAAAGGGTCGTTCGTTTTACGCCGGGTACTATACTACATACGCTGTTCTTCGGTCCGGTGTGCAGAACAACCGGCGCGCTGCCGTTCCCAAGCCCGAAATTGCCAGTGTGGGTGTCTTTCCGACCGCAAGTTGTTGACACCGAGGTAAAAAATATCGCTCCTGCGCATACACCTTGGGGATACGCACAACCGAAAGTCAAAGCCTGTTTTCCGAGCCTCCTTCCGGAGTAACGAAGAAGGGACTCGGCTTCTTCTGCGTCATAACAGCAGCATGCGAGAGCGCGAAGTTGGTTCGTCCATCTTTCGGAATGCACGCGTGTCACCAACACGCCCCTTTCAAACCCAAAAAGCAGCGACAAAGACTGCAGTACCTGATGCGCACTTTCCAAAGCCCCGCGCCCTCCCCCCTCGGTGTTTTGCCATCGGGGTTGGGTTTTCGTCGCTTGGCAACGACGTTGTAAAACAAGCC